TGGGGATCCGTTGCACACCAGAAAGCGCAGGCCCCGAAGCGAGGAGGAGATGCGAGCTGGGGAGGCTGTCCCAGCTGTAGTGTGGGCTGCTGTCAGGATGTATCATCTTGAGCTCATAACCACTCTTCCTCAATCTGTTGGTAGAGAGGAAGAAAATTCAGGGAGGATTGCTTAAAAAAAAAAACAAAACAAAACCCTGAAGTATATTTTTTCTCTCAGATAGCTTTTAAAACTTGTCTCTGGGTCAAGCCAGATGACTCTATATTGAATCCTATGGAGTTCCAGTGAGTAGCTTCCCCCTGCTTGTATGTCTGGGTAATACTCCCGATTTATGTTGAGAATGGCTGTGAAGATCAGTCTCATGTCATTGGCCATGCACTCCTTGTGTGGATTTTGTTTCAAACACTGTTCTTGATGGGGAAAGGGACTTCTGCTACCATGGGCCCGGTGGAGAAGTTCTTGTGGGGGCTAGGCACCTGGAATGGTTGCAATTTCCCCGTGTGATTTGGCTTTTATCTTATGAACACAGAGTGTCCAACATCTGAACAGATTTTCCTTTTTCTGGGGGCTTTGGAAGCTCAGAACCAAATACCTAACTCCCTTTTAGCAGGCAGACAAGTAGGAAACTTCTTTTTTTCTTTCCCTGTTCTCGATTGTTTTTTGCTGTCAGGCTTAACATGCTGGATTTCCAGCTTCTGTGTTCATCGAGCCACTGCGGGATTGTGAGCAGTAGTGCTAGAGTTGCTGGAGGGGAGTTCGGGAATCGGTCAGACCCCCTCCTTTGAATGGGATCTTAGGGCTTCAGCATGTCCCTGTGAAGGTGTTCCTCGCATTTTTGCACCTTAAGTGTATGTTGGTGGGACCGGCTTTCCCTGTGCTCTGCCAACTACATGAGCATGAGAATTCTCTATGTCGATTCTATACCTCTACACAGTACACATAAAACAAACAAACAAACAAACAAACAAAAAAAAACCCTTGTTAAATGTTTCTAGAATAAGCAAAGGAATGCATTCTAATGGAGAGACCCAACCACCTTGGAAGCCCTTTGCATGATCCTCTCTCGTAACCTTATAAGTGAAAGGCTTGGTCCTTGGTTTGGGGGAATACATTCTTTCTCTGGTCTATTAGAGCATGGGTTGTGCGGTTAGGTCACCACAGAATTAATCTTGGCTCTAACACTCCCTTCTATGTGAGTTGAGAAGGCCACTTAACCCCTCTGTACGTTAATTACCTTGTACTTATAATAGGGATAATAACCTGCCTCACCAGGTTGCAAGCATTAAGTGAAAGCAAATGAGATAAAATATGTAGTCAGTGTCTAGTGTAGGGCCTGGCATGGAGCAGGTGCTTGAGGGAGAGCGTGCTTCTTGCATTTGTCAGGGTGCAAAAGCTTCTGCTGGGGTCATGCTTAACCCCAGAGGGATCAGCAACGTAAGACAAGTTGTTATTCTGCTCTTGGAAGGTTAATGCTGATACGGCTGCCCAGGTGACTGGTTGGCTCTCTTCCAGCACGTGTCTCAGGGATCTACACATCATTTTTCCTTTGATGCCACTGCCTTCCCCTATAGTTTTGAAGGTCCTCACAGCAGGGGCAGATGAGGAAGGCTTTTTCTAAAAATCATTTTTATGGGCCAGTCATGCAAGGTGCAAATGTTGGATATCACTTTGTTACATGCAGTTCTAGGGCTTCCTACCTGGTCTTCCCCAGATGGAAGTGGCTTGGAGACACAGTGCTCTTTATTTTCTCTTTTTTCTTTTTTTTAAAGTAGAGGTAGGGAGGAGCAAAGGGAGAGGGGGAGAGAGAGAATATATTTTTTTTAAGATTTGATTTATTTGAGAAAGCGTGCACATGAGTAGGGGGAGGGGCAGAAGAAGAGGGAGACTCAGACTCTGTGCTGAGCAGGGAGCCCAACATGGGGCACCATCCCAGGTCCCTGGGGTCATGACCTGAGCTGATGGCATATGCCCAACCACCTGAGTCACCCAGGTGCCCCATCTCTTGTGTGCACAAGAGAGAAGGCCCAAACGGTTTGCCATATAGGTAGCGTGGTCTTGGCCAGTCTTTCCTTCTCTAACCCTGGAGGCTGGTCTCCGTTTAGGATGCAGAAGTTTCTAGTGGACACTGGAGATGCTGCATGTGCCCCTTGCTTATCAGTTCCAGCATGTCAGGATCTGTTGTCCATGGCATTGACCTGATTCATTTGTCTCTCCAGGCTGGGCTCCTGACAGGTGATGGCAGGGAGATTGTAGAGGAAGGAGGTTGGCTTTCTGGAGAACAACACACCTGCTGCCCTCACTGTTTTTAAATTGTAAGCACAGTGGGCGTGGGGCATTCACACTCTTTTGCAGTTTGGGGAGTTTGTAGTGATTTGGGAGAATCACTCGGGGTTTGCCACATGGACCACGTGGGGAGGGAGCTTCCTAGGTGGGATGGGAGAGAGGCTGAGCACAGGAGGCTCTGTGCTCACTGTTACTGTTACTTCAAAGCAGAGCTTTGTCTGTGTCAGGTGTCCCGTCGTATTATTGGTTCATTCATTCAGCAGATACCGAAGCCCTACTATGTGCCAGAGCTGTTCCCAGCCGTTCTGATGCTTACTGTCTAGTGGAAGCTGATCGGTTACCTTCCTCCTCGCCTTTCAGAGGCCTTCCTCCTCCACCGTACCCGGGCTGATGTGTCCTACCCTTTCCTCTCATGGCCTGGGCCTCCTGTCCTTGCCTGTTGACCTTTGTCCATGCACACGGGTCACCACCCTTCTTCCCTCAGTTCCCTGGATTACCAGCCGCCCAGGGCTGCTCCGTGTGGCCAGCTCTCTCCCAGGAGCTGGGTGGAGTGGAGGGACAGGAGAGCCTAGGACAGGAAACTGTTTCTGGGACCCCAAGCCCGAGGTCCCCTCTCACACACCCTAGCCACAGCCTCTGTGGCACGATGCTGAAATGCATGCGGGTTTCTCCATTGACGTGTTGACTGTCAGTCTGTCTTGCTGAAGAGTGATAGCAGGCTGCTTCTATGGACCGCTGGATAGCCAGGGCCTCGGACTCTGTTGGATCTGCACTAAACAATTGTTGAATGGGGGCGCCTGGGGGGCTCATTCACTTAAGTGTCTGAATCTTAATTTTGGCTGGGGTCACGATCTCCAGGTTGTGAGATGGAGCCCTGCGTTGGGCTCCGCACTGGGCGTGGATCCCGCCTGAGACCCTCTTTCTCCTCCTCTGTCCTCCCCACTTCCTCCTTGTGCTCCTGGGCTCTCTCAAATAAACGCATCTTTAAACAACAACGATTGTTGAATTGAAGGATGAATAAATGAAGTTCTATATTTTAGTTCCTACCAAGGCATCAGCCAGTTTCCTCACAGGAAATTTCTTACTGGCTATCACTTTCTGTGGGTTTCTGCTTTTTATTGTTTCTTGCATTCCTCTCTTCCTCTCCTCTGCTTTTTAATCTAGATATCTACACAAGACACCCCAAATTCCTATTACCTTTTTGGACTAAGTTATTGAATACTCTCTACTCAAGCCCAAAGCCCTGTATTAACAAAGTAGGTCCATCTTTCCTTAACCCAGTCAAGACTCCAAATTGGGGTGCTCTCAGAGAACACTGCTGCGTTCTCATTCACAGCAAGGAAGAAAAGAGAAAGCCTTTGGAGCCTTTGGCAATGTAGGTTTGTGTGTTTTTTTTCTTTGTAAGTGGTGGTGTGACTGTCTTCCATATTATACCTATCAAGAGGAATTCCACCCCACTAAGCAGAGGACATCCCAGGCCTGGGTGCAGAGAAGGGCTTTCGTCCTTGACAGCTGGTGGAGAAGGTGGTGTGATCTTAGGGGAGGCTGTAGACACAGGCTGGGGCTAGCGAGGGATGGCTTCTGTATGTGGATCAGAACCACGTGTACCTGCGTAATGGGGAAGCAGGAGTGTGGAAAGGAGGGAGATGGTGCTGTGATGAGACCTGAGCAGCAAGGAGATGGGGAGGCAGTGGCAGAGCTGGATTGGGTGTGAAACTGGGCCTGGAAGACGAGTCCAGAAGCTGCCGTAGAATGCTGTGTCCTACCAGCTCACCCTGGGTGCGGTTCCTCCCCCTCGGACCCCTCCTGCTGGGTCCACCAGAGCCCTGATCAGTCCTCATTCAGGATGTCACGGCCCCTGTTTCTCCAGGCCGACCGGCATTTCCTCCTTGGAACCCTGGTTCTGTGCCCTGCATCTTTGTCAGCATCACGTGGAGGGGACCTCCAGCCCCCTGAGCATATGCTTAATAAATCCTTGTCAGAATTGAATTGATACAACTTCCTGTTAAAATGGTGGATGACTTTAAACACTGTGAACGTTGGCTTTACTGTCTTCCCAGTACACGATTGTCTGATTCTTCCACAAATCTGATTTTTATGCCATGAAACAGGAGTTTTCACCAACTGCTTTCATAGGGCAGGGGACAGATGTGGGGAATTTATTCTGTGCCACTTACTCTTGGCTTTGTTACCCCATGTCATCCTCATGGTGTTTCTGTCCAGTGGCTCTTTCCCTCCATGTCACAGGTGAGGAGACTGGGATGTGCGTGGGGCTGCAGTTGGCCCACATCTGCACGGCTGAGATCTGAGGCTGGTCTGGCCCGGCTCTGGAGCTGGTGTTCTCTCTCCTGTCCCCAGGGTCTTTCCCTGTGGCAGGAAGCAATCACAGAGGCATGCCCTGGCATTCATTTTTCCTGCTTAGAATGAGACATCGCTATTTACTTTCTCAGGAAGGAAGATTGAAATCAATGTAACTGGCCTTATTAACTTTTTTAAATGGGGGGGGGGTGTGTGTGCCTGCAGATGCCAACACCTTTCTTGAGAGCACCAAAGCAAATATAAAAATCCAATTTGCTTGCCTTTTTTTTCTTTGTTTTTTTTTAAATCTCCTCCGGAGTTCAACATTCAGAGCTGTAAATGAAGAGCTGATGAGACGGGGGTAACGAACCAAGTCTCAGACACAAGGATGTATTTACCCATATCTCTTTTGTCTGTAGGCGGCTGTTCCTTCGATGAGCACTACAGCAACTGTGGTTATAGCGTGGCCCTGGGGACCAATGGATTTACGTGGGAGCAGATTAACACGTGGGAGAAACCAATGCTGGACCCAGCAGTGCCCACAGGTACGTGACCCACGGTGTTGGAGGCCGTGTTGAAGATGACTCACTTTTGGGATGACTTGTGGGGACAGACTTTCTTAGGGATCGGGCTGTCTGAGAGGGTGATAGACTGTTTCATTGGTAGTAAGTTTCTCATCCCCAGGGGTATGCAAACTAAGGCTGAGTGAATTCTTAAGGTAGGGGGTAGGAATCACATGTCACAGGGATTCAGGAACCTTTAGCATTTCTTTTAGTTCAAGATCCTAAGATTTAGGTACAAGTTAGGGCGTCCCTGGGTTTTGCTTGGGAACCTAAGAGTAGTTGGATTTTGTGGTAGAGAAATTCTGAAGAATGAGGTCATTCCTTTTCTTCCAGGACACAGACACATAGCTTGTATATATCTAGGGAAACTGGCACAGTCAGAATATTGCTCACAAAGTTAATGTTCTGACATCCCGAATGCCCAGCTTATCCTTGACCAGTGGAGCTAAAGGGCTAATGTGCTTTCCTGCTGGATAGCTGCTTGCGGCAGGTATATGAGAGTGACAGCTGATGTATTCTAGGGGAGATACACTGGGAGAGGAACGCTCAGAATACATTTGGGGTGGGTTAGGCTTGGGTGAGTGGACTCTTGGAAAGGCTTACCTAGGGACCTGAGCTAGGAAGTGTTGCCACTCTGGGAACATGAGGGTCATCTCTTTGAATGTGTGATCCCAGGGTCAGCGGTAAAGATGCCAGGTTATTGGAGAAGCACCGTCATGTCTGTGGTTCCTCCCTGCCCAAGGGCTCCCTCTAACCCACATGTTTGTCTTGTTTTTTCCCCCAAGACCTTCTGGCACTCTTCCTCACTTTGGCCGCTAAATATGGGAGATCTCAGACTTGTTCTATACTATTTGCATGTGTATTAAGTTCTGCAGAGAAACAGAATGAACAGGACATACAGAGAGATGCATTTGAGAGGAGATTTAGTACGGGCATTGGCTCAGACTGCTGAGCAGTGCCATGCTCTGTGGTCTGTGAGCTGGAGAACCAGGAAAACCGGTGGTGTAATTCGGTCCGAGTCTGAAGGCCTGAGAATACAGGCTGATGGTATATACCTGCTAGGAGTTCAAAATCCCAAGAATCAGGAGCACTGATGTTTGAGGGCAGGAGGGGATGGGTGCCCTTAGCTCAAGTAGAGAGAACGAATTCACCCTACCTTCCCCTTTTTGTTCTGTTTGGGCCCACAAGGGAGTGGATGATGCCTCCTGAGTTGGGGAGGGCCATCTGCCTTATTCAGTTTGCCGATTCAAATGCTAATCTATTCTGGAAATCCCTCCTAGACACTCCCAGAAATAATGTCCTACCAGCAATTTGGGCATTTCGTAGCCCAGGGAAGTTGACATACAAGAGTAACCATCACACTCTGGCTGGCCTCCCCCACTCCCGTGCCTTCATTTGCCATCAGACCTCTTGTATGAACTCTAGACCTACATCCACACTGCCTGGCTGCCGCGTCTTCTTGCCATGCTCTGGGGAGAGGGGTCTAACAGGAGGCCACTAAGCTGGAGACAGAGAAGATGCCCAGGGATGTGCAGGTAAGGGTGTGGCCTGCGTGGCCTCAGTGACTGTGAGTTTGGCTCCAAAGCAGGATGGTTCTGTATAGTTTGAGTTAAGGGTGTAAATGGTATAAATTTTTCATGAGTATAGATACCAGCCCCAGGTGAAGTAAATCAGCATGACGGTACAGAATTGAGCTTTGCAGATCTGGTAGGATCTTGCTTGGCCGTGAGCAGAGTCACCAACCACTACACGTGCCCCTTCGTAAGGTGACCGCGGGACAACCCATATGCCTGTTGTCCTATCATCATTTTTAACACGGCTGACTTTATTCTCAGAAGTGTCTTGGTTTAGATGATAGAATTTCTCATTCTGTTAGGGACCCACAGAGGCCAGAACACTCTGCTGAAATGTACCGCATGCTCCGTTTTGCCTGGCCATCTTTGTGGTTGGCGGGATACCTCCAGATCTTCTGGTATGTGCATGTGTTTTGCATGTACACATAATTTCTTCCTGCCTCTCCTTAGCCCACCTGTAGGGTCTTGTAGGCTCTCCAAACTCAACAGCTCCAGCACTGAGCTCCTGATTCCCATCTCCCACTCCTTGTGCGCTTGCTTTGCCACGTTCTTGCCAGGAAAGACCACTCTCCATAGAACCTTCTACTCCACCTCATTCTCTTGTTCTACCCCTTTGTGTCTCAGCATCATCACGGTTTTCTTACGATAGCATTTCTGAGATACTTCAGCTTGGGTCCGTTCTTTCTGCTAATACTCCCATTGCGTCCGACGCTTTTTCTCAACAAGCGTGTCACAACAATGCACATCACAGTGGATGTTGTTCGTTCTGTGTATGTTTTACCCCCAGATGAGACATTCTTTGTGCCTGGGAACCATGACAGTCTTGTCCATAGCTTTATCTTAGTGCTTAATACAGTGCATCCTACCTGTTAAGAACAAAATAACATTTCTTTGGATGGATGCATGGACGGATAGCCAAATAGCCTTTATCAAGTGTATTTTGCTTTTTTTAATTCAAAGATTTTGTTTGTTCTCTGTTCCTTATTATTTCTTTTTTGAATTGAGGTACAGTTGACATACAATGTTACCTTAATTGTGGGTGTGCTACGTAGTGACTGAAAAAGTCTGTATGTTATGCTATGCTCACCCCAAGCGTAGCCATCATCTGTCTCCATACACTGCTGTTATAACACCATTAATACTCCCCATGCTGTGCCTTTCATCCTCGTGAGCCGGTCTCATTCCGTAACTGGAATTCCGTATCTCTCACCCCGCTTCACCCATTTTGCACATGCCCCTATTTTCCTTTCCTCTGGCAACCATCGGTTTATTCCCTGGACTTATGGGTTTGATTCTGCTTTCTGTCTCTTCATTTGTTTTTTCGACTCCATGTGTAACTGAAATCAAATGATATTTGTCTTTCTCTGACTTATTTCACTATCAAGTGTTTCTTAAATGGAGAAATGAATGATAAACTTCTGGAAATGCCTTGGGGCCCTCTATTACCTGATGAAATTTTCATCTTTCATCATTCAAGGTGAATTCATTCAAGATGAATTTTTCATCTTTCCTATAATCTTTCCATTTTACAGATTGGGAAACCAAGGGTCTGAAAAGCTGAGGGACATTGCTTTTCCCACCGTGCCAATCTCTCTTCCCAAAGGAGTGACTCTTGCTTCTAATCTTGATTTTCTCAGCCCCTCATTATGGCAGAGTGTCATTTCATAAATATTGGATTGTGCTAATACAATCTTCTGAGCTTTTCTAAATAAAGGCATTTGATAATGATCACTGAAATTATTCTGTCATGATGTGCCGGTGGATTTCCATGGCTCTGTGTGCTTCTTAAGCAGAGAGGCATGAAAGTGAATTTGGATTAGGCAAAATTGTTTGTTCTTCTCCTGGGCAAAAACTGAAATCTTACTTTCCTTCTGTAAAACCAGCAGTTTCCATCCTTTGGAAGTCTGGTTGGAGTCTGTTTATTCAGATGTTCCACAGCCTTTGACTGATCCCCTTCTGTGTGACAGACCGTGCTGGGGTGTGAATGGATCACACAGTGTCATATTGGCACTTAGGCCCTCTGCTGGCTTCTCCTGGTGCATGGGTCGAAATCTGAACTCCTTGCTACAACCTGCGTGATCTAGTGTCCTCTCCAAGCCCTTTTTCTTCTCCGAATGCCCCCAGACACACTGGCTCCTGTCGGTTCCTTGGAGACTGAACAACCGCCTCATCCTTTCCTGGCTCAGGACATTTGCACATGCTGTTCCCTTTCACCGGAATGGCCTTCTTCACTCTCCACTTGGCCGGTTTCTTCAGGCCTCAGCTCAGATGACTCCGCAGGGGGATGGTCTGTGTAAAGAAAGAGCTGTGTAAAGAAAGTCTGTGTAAAGAAAGAGCCCCTCCTTGTTCTTCCCATAGTATCCTATTCTTGGCTTTCAAAGTTCTTGACATAAACGTGTTTCCAGATGAGCTTACTCCATTCCTATGCTATAGATCAGTGACTCTGAGCCCTTAACCCCACTGCCTCAGCTTCTTCTTCTTTAGCATGAGAACCAGTAGGAGAGTTAAACAGAATGATGCCTGCGTGAGTGCAAAGTGTCTGCACATAGTAGGGTTTCATTGGTCCTGGTTGCCTGGTGTTCGGTTCTGGTTCTTACAGTCTCTGGAACTGTAAGTCTAATTTCTCCTTAGAGAACTTGCCCCTTCAAGTTCACCTGACCCCAGATGCTGTTTTACCCCGGTGCGCCACCCAGCAGGTGGTCTGCACGGGTTCCCTGAGGGACCAGAGAGGCTTTTCAGTACCCAGGGTACTTGCTGCCCCGAGGACTTGTACACCTCCTCTATCTGAGGGTAGTTAATTCAGTGCTGCACACAATCACTCTCAGAGTCTTTTCCTCATCCCTTTCCGTGGGCAGAGCCCTTGGCCTGGCATTCCAGGTTTGGCCCGGACTTCATCTTCATTGGGGCTACCCCAGAGGCATGGGGGTTGCTGCACCCACGGAGCCTCCCTGGAAACCTAGGTCTGGTCCCTGGCATTTCCTGCAGGTGCCTCTGGTTTCTAGCTCTGTCTTCCCCAGCCTTGGCATAATGTCCACATGTCCCCCCTGGGAGACAGCCCGAGGCCCAGTCAGGGTGGGGGGCTCCTTGGGAGCTGGAGGGAGATTCAGGACTGTAAGTGTCCTTTCGAAAGGGCTGTAGCCAGAGGCAATGGGGCTTGGGAGGCGTCCCTCAATTTCTTCTGCTCATAGGCTGTTTGGGTGTCGGTATGAGGTAAGGCTGACTCTCAGGCTGAAAACCCATGTGTGCTAGAAATGCTGCCTTTGTATCAACTTATATGTCCCCCTTCCGTAGGGGTGTGCGGATGTCCTGGGGACTTTATCAGGCCAGGTTGTTGTGGTTTCCTCTTAGAAGCCCACTGTCCCATTCCCATGGTCCCTTTGGGTCTAGTAATTCTCCTGCTGCTCTCCA